GGGGGAGCCTCTTCACCCTGAACCAGACGCCAGATACCTGCTGCTACACACTGGTACCTCCCTCCCCCTACTTTTGAGATACCCTTTATTGATGCTGCAGACCTGTGCTCACACCGCTCCGTACCATTGCATGTCCACTATGGTCAGCTGATGGGGAGGGAATGTCCACTATGGTCAGCTGATGGGGGAGGAAGGGATTGGGAAAGTCCAAGGGTCGCCGCAACGGGTTCATTTGATCCACCGTTGTCCCATCTCTGAAGCAGATGTGATAGTCTCTCCATCTAATACGGGATTCCACAGATTGCCCAGGGTTCAGCCTCCTGATGAGTTGATGCAACCCCGACGAACGAGACAATCTATCATCAGCTTTATTTTTTTCGGTCGCTGTTTGCTTTGGTACTTATATTATTTTGGGCGTGCTGTTTTCTGTTTTTGCTGTGTTTCTTTGGTTTGCTTGTTTTCCCCTTCACCACCGTGGACTGTTCATCTCCCCACCCTCCTCCCCCGTCCCCTCCAGCCTTTGCTCTTTGTTGCTACTTCTTGTCCTCAACTGTGGTGCCTCCTGCAGAGTCCTGCCCTTTTCCTCACTGTTGTTCGTCTGCCGTTCCTCTGGAGTCACCCTCTCTCCCTCAGCCGTAAGGCTGAGCTCCTGCCATGAGGGTTTGGTCCGTCTATACGATGGCATTCTCGTTCGAATGTCGTGCTCTTGTTCTGCAGCCTCTAGCCTTGCGATATGTGGTTGTTTTAGGAAAGACCGTCGGTGCAATGAACATCGCGATAACAAACCAACTCGAACACGCAAGATGAGAACATTCACATGAGGGTGCACACCATGCCGGAGAGATACCACATGAACCAGCGCCAGCTATGTTTCCACTCAAAAATATGATACTACAGAATTGGAGAGTTCAAGTGTCCAGTGGCAACTGCCGCGACTCAGTGCCGTAATCGCGACTCAGGTATGCACCCCACTCCCCATCTCTCAATGTCTGGCCTCTATCTCTCTCTCTTGCGGGTTGTCCGGTCATTTTGCTTGTCAGAGTCCAGTAATGTAGAATATGCAGCATGAGCATGGAATGGGTGGCTTGATTGGTTATGGACGGACCTGGTGTAACGGTGGAGAGCATGGTGGATATGCTGTCAGATATTTTGGAACACACACACACACACACACACACACACACACACAACAGCATGCACATGACAACGAGCGCACGGCCTGCGCTCCATGCAGGAGGGCGAGGGGGGGGACGAGAGAGAGAGAGAGAGAGAGA